AGGAGACGGTGGAAAAATCCCACGGCCATTTCCTTGTGCACCCAAGGAGACAGACCAGTAGCGTGCAACTGAGGCTGATGATATATGGGTGTGAAAGTCCAATAGATATCGCAATGCACTGCTCTCTGCACCCTGAGAGAGGCTGGTAGCCTTCCTCCCCAAGGCTCAGCTCCACCACCGCTCCCCAGGCACTGCCAATGTGGGGTTGCTCCAGCCCATGAACCTGCCAGACCAGCGCTCTGCTACAGCCCGTGGTGCCAGCAGGCAGCCTCGGCTCTGCCATGGGCTCTGGGTGCTGGGTTTCCACTCTGCCGCAGCCCCTACGAGCCCCGTTTCCACCCCCAGTGGCACCCCAGCTATGGTGCACGGTTCTGGCTGTCCTACAGGAAAGAAGCCACAGCACCCGCTGCTGATGCTGTGTGCGGTCCCGCTTCACCGGTGTTGGCATTATGAAACCATGGAGGGAAGAGACTGATGACAGGGAGCGGAAGAGTGAGCTGGGTGGTGCAGATGATGGTAGGAGTCTGCAGAAGGGACACATCTGCTGGAAGTTTTTTACTAAAATGTTAAGTATCAGAGCAGTTCCCTGAACATATTTTCAGCCGCTGTCATTAGGCTGCAGAATTATTTGCGCTGCTGAGTGTACGCCCCTCAGCTCTGAGCTGCCGTTTCAGCTGGCTGTAGGCTCAGGAGAACAACACCCCATCAGCTGTTGTCAGTCCATGCTCTCCGGCTTTTCCCTCACACCTGCAAGGAGGAGCAAAATAGTTCCTCCAAGATGAAAACTTCAGCTCTCAGGGCAGAATGCCTCAGCAAGGACTGGTTTCATGAGAGGTCCATCGCCGGAGGTCCGTTCCAGGAGCTGGGCTCAGTCATTGATCTCAGAGAGATACAGGGAGAGTGCTGGGGCCTTGGGGGCTATTTAAGGATACACAATAAATTTGACTCTTACTGCCTGGACAGGGCCTGGCGCTGTGAGACACCATTTAGAGGAGCTGTCTTCCTTCCCCCAGTACCTGGAAAGGGACTAGCTAAGGGAGAAGGCCAAAAAAATGTAACTGTGGCTCATCACAGGACAGAGGATGGCGAGCGGGAGAGCCTTACCCAGCACGTGTGAGGTGGAGCTCTGCAGCGCTTGCTCCCCAATCTTCTCAATTGCCTTAAAATACACTTCAGCCGCTTTGGATAATGCTGTGAGAGGAGGAGAGGAGAGGTAAGGATCTGGCCTGCCTTCCCACCATCACCAGCCCCAGCAAGCAGCACACAGGACAGTCACCCCCTGGTACCTCGCCTATAGGCAAGGGCACCCCGACTCTTCCCATCTGTGCCTAATAACAGCAGTGGGTCCTGCAGCAGGAGAAAAGTGAGTAAGAGCAGCTGAGGACATGCCACGGAGGGGACCATCAGCCTTGCCCTGGGTGACAGCAGTCCCTTCTGACGCATAGTGGACACCCAGGATGGACGCAGCAGCATGGAGCCTGGGCCATGCAGGACCCCACTCACCATGGAAAGCACGCAGGTAGTTGTTCCCCAGGTACACCAGTTTCTCCAGCGCGGGGTTGAACTGCTCCAGAATACTCTGTGGCCAGGCAGAAGCACATTAACGCCAGTCTTCCCCACGCCCCAGAGACCTCAGCAGGTTGATGCCCTCCTGCTGCT